TCTACTCTTCAAAGAGAGTTCGGCTAATTACAGAATTCCAAATGGACAGTTGTTTTCCCTGAGCATTCTGAGTGTACAACACCATCACCCTCTGACAGCTCTTGTTCATCAGAGTTTTGCTGTCAATTTGTCATTTCTTTGTATGTAATCCATCTCTTTTTTGTAGATTATATTTTCCTTTTTTGTTTAATGCTTTACAGTTTTGCTACAGTGTTTCTATGTAGAGATTTATTTTTACTATCTTGTTAGTAACTCAGTGAGATTTTTCAATTCGAGCTTTTGTGTTTTTTCATTTCTGGAAAATTTTCAGTCATTTTATTTTCAAACATCACTTCTTTTCCATTCTGCTTATTTTCTTCTGCAAATTCCGTTGGATATATTTCTCAGCTTCTTACTCTACCCTCCACTACTTTTCCTTCTCTATCTTACTGTGCTTTGATCTAGAAGCTTTTCAGTGCTATCTTCCAACTCATGAGTCCTCTCTCTTCAAAAATATCCAGTGTAGCAATGGGATAATTTATTGAGGATTGTTATCATTTTCAGTGACTATATTTTTTACTTCCAAGATTTCCAGTTTGTTCCTTTCCAAATCTTCTTGTTCTTGTTTCATGGATGCTGCTTCCTTCCTTCGTCTTTGAGCAGTTAATTTATTATTTTAAAGTTCTCAGATTGATCTCTATATCCCCAGGGGTTAATTCTTTCATTTGTTGAATTTACGAAATATTTTTATCATGATGGACTCCCTCATGTGCTTAAAATTTCTTAAAGAGCCATTTTTGCTTGGGAGTTCTCTTTCATATACACCCTTTCTTTTCATATGGTCTATATTTGCTTCAGCTCTGGTCCAAATGGGTTTCACAGGTCCAAACCAGTCTTACATTAATTAGCAGATTACCTTGTATCTTTTACTCCATATTAATGATTTAATTTTGGACCTTACACATGTGTTGTATAGACTCAGTTCAGATATTCTATTGGGTACTCAGCTTCTTTGATTTTTATGTATAGATTCAATGCTCTCAAAAGCAAAAATATACATCTAAAATATTTTAATAAACTATATATCCCATTTAAGAGAATAAGTTCCTTCTTTTTGATAAACAATTTGAGGATAAACAACCAATGATTTACGAACTATAGGTGGGAAAATGACACCAGGCATGTCCTGGCTCTCTACAAATCTCCTCTCAGTGTTGTATTTTATGTCTAGCAGTGAAGGCCTCCTAGTGTGCTTCCACTTTGCAAGCCCCTTAAAGTATCTCCATTCCAGATCCTTTAGATCCAAGAATTGTTTTTCTGAAAAGAATCATATATTCGAAGAATCACATGGTGTTATTATTCAACCTCGTGTTACACAGAGATGCTTCATGGACAGAATAAACTTCTGATGAACTTGAATCTCCTTCTCTTTCTGGCAAAAAGCTGTTTATAAAGCTTTATAAACAAAGGGAGACCCTATGATGTTATCTAAAGCCCTCTCCTAAATAGGAAATTGGGTGGGCTTGAGCGGACCCCGTAGGCCACAGCAGGTAGATGGAGCGTCTCATTCTGTGCTTGGATACTAAGAGCACGTGAAAATGGAGAGCCCTGCAGGGCACTGAGTTGCACAGGGAGGAAAGAAGGACCCTAATAAGTGGTGAAAACAACGAGGAAGATTGACTAGAAGTACATAGATTTTTTAGTGTCATTTGCTTCAAGATGCTACTGTAAACCCTGAGTATAAACGGGCCACAGCTTAGGTAGAATTTGGCTGTTTTCCATACTCTTTCAGGGCCTACCAGCTTGGCTCTTTCCTACTCTTTCAGGGTCTAGTAATTACAATCCCTTCAAGGAACCAATGAGCCAAGGAGAACCAAGCCAAGATATATTGCATGTTCCCCCACTCAGCAGACATTCCCCTTTCCCTTCCCTTCAGCTCTTTTCATGACTAAATACATTGTAAAGCTAAAAACAACAACAAAAGCAAGGCTGAAGGCAGGGGCTTGAATGTAAAACCAGGGACCACAGAGCCAAGAGATCAGTATAAAGAGTATAGGAGAATAATGGGTGCAGCAGAGAAGCAGAAGGGCTGGTCTATTTCTGGTAGGTGACTGTACCACCCTTCCTGGGTGGTGACATTTCAGTAGGTTGCCTGTGGTCCAGGGGTTGAGCAGGCATTGCTGCTGCCCCAGTCAGCCTCCCTGGGTCTGCCTGGCAGGAAGTCTTTATATATATTCTGTACACACCTGAAGTAGAAGACAGGTGCTGGGGACTGTTGCTATCTTCCCCAGTGGAACAGATGTTCAACAGTTTGTCCCTAATTTCAGGGAGTTTGATAAGATCTTTGCAGGCCTGGCAAAGCAGGAAGTGGTGGTAAAAGGAAGGAAGGGGATATTTGGCAAGAGAAGGCCACAGAGTTGATGATTTTGACAACTAAAGAGCTTTATGTCATGATCTGTGTTAGACACTGTAGGTTGGCTTCCTCCATACCCATTCCAATCCTCTTCTGCCTATCTCTGCTACAGCGAGGGCTCACTAAGAACTCTATTCACGGCCGGGCGCAGTGGCTCACGCCTGTAATCCTAGCACTCTGGGAGGCCGAGGCAGGCGGATTGTTTGAACTCAGGAGTTTGAGACCAGCCTGAGCAAGAGCAAGACCCCCATCGCTACTAAAAAAATAGAAAGAAATGATCTGGACAACTAAAAAAAATATACAGAAAAAAAAAAAAGAACTCTATTCACCAGCCTCCCTTGCAGGAAGGGTGATGATCGGACATAATTCTGGCCAATAAAGTGTAGGAAGAAGTCATCTGAGGAGGGGTGTTCTGGAAAACCGTTTCTTCCCTATTAAAACAGGACAGAAATACCAACGTGGCCCTCTGTCCTATCCCACCTCTTCCTGCTTGGAATGTGGCCATAGCACCTACAGGTGAAGGAGATGTCTGTTAGACATGAAGATAAAAGCCACACACAAAACGATGGTGAAGACTGGGTCCTTGGAGACATCAAAGAGCGTTGTTGCACAGCGAGTAGAGCCATGGCTATCAGAGACTGGGGAGAGGGAGATGGGGAGGATGGGGAGAGGTTGGTCCATGGGTACAAAGTTACAACTAGATAGGAGGAATAAGTTCTGGTGTTCCATTGCACAGCAGGGTCAGGATGATTAACAACAGGATATAGTATATTATAAAATATAAAATATGGTATATTATAACATATAAAATATTATAAAATAGCTAGAAGGGAGGCTTTTGAAGGTCCTCACCGCAAAGAAATGGTAAGTGCATAAGGTGATGGTCCTGCTAAATACCCTAATTTGATCATTGGACAACATAGATATATATATGGAAACATCAAATTGTACCCCATGAATATGTACAATCACAATGCACCCATTAAATAAATAAATAAAAAGCATTGTTCCAGCCCTTGTCTTCCTACCTTCAGAATTCCAAATATATAAGAAAAACAACCCTTGTTTGGTTTCTCTGTTATTTTTGGTCAAACACACTCCTAATCTACATGATCCTACAGGATTTAGCCTGAGCAAGAGGAGCTCATAGGATAGGAGAAGAGCAAAATGGAAACATCCACTCTCTTTTCCTCCCCCAGGGCTTGGTGTTAGTAGGGATATGTCCTGTAGTATTCTTTGGCATACAAGGAATCCTAAAGTTCTTCCGGACTGAGTAGAAGAGTAGAAGATGAATTGTTGCAATATCAATTAAACCTAAGGAATTACTGAATATCCTTCATGTGGATGCCTGTCCCAGAAATTGACCTCCACAATCTCAGGAAATGAGGGTCATGTAGGCAGAAAAGAGACTCCAATTCAGTCTGGGAGGCCACACGAGAGACCCCCAGAAGTTAGGTAGACAGCAGGCAACACAGGCATTAGGAAGAAAGGACAACCTGGCCCCTATCAGAAGCAAAGTCATAAATGTTCAAGATCCTATCAAACATCCAGAATTCTTCTTCAATAGGTTTTTGACTAGTTCTTCCTATTGATTCTCATTGCTTTTCATGGTTTTTCCTCTCTGTTCCAGACTCTACTTGTATAGTTTATGGATTACCTAACCCAGTCCTACAATTGCTCTAATTTCTAACCCCGCCTATCCTCCAAAACACACAAAATATGACTCTATCAAAGTCATATTTGAAACCTGCACTAAGCTCTGTCAAGACGTCAATGTAGGGAGTTACAGCAAAGGCTATTTCAGTTTGCTGGACCAAATATGCTCAGAGTAGTGAACCTATTCCTTCAAATCTGTACCTTCTGTCTCTCCCACTCCTTTCAAGATAAAAATGATGGTGTCAAAATATTTGCTGTGAAAATGGTCTTATCTTGAATCAAGAACTTACTTCAGAGGGATGCAAATGTTGATTTAGTCTATTTTTATAGCTCCTCAGAATGACAAATATTACCTCTCTTTAATTACGTAAGTAATACGGAGTCCTGAAGTATAAAATACTCCCCTCTCACTAAAAGTTAGCATCATATGTTTTACGTATTTATTTTAACTTTCTCTGTGTGGTCTTTGGCCTCTTATGGGAACCTCTCCATTAAAGGATCAGAAATGAGAGTTCCTTCCCACTGTCTGTGGCCTCTGTTGAAAGCCCGGATACAGAAGTAAGGAAAGCATAAAGAGTCATGAATGAAAAGATCTCTAAAAAAATCCCTTAATTGCAGCAAAGCCAAGCTAATACTCAACTAACTTCATGTAACAAGAAACAAAGAGCTATGGGTGGTTTGGAGTCCAAGTCCAACTGGCTCATTTCACAAAGGAACGTTTAAGTAGTGTATCTAAATAATATACCTTTTCAAGAATGACTCTGGGACTCGAGCCTGGAATTTTATGTTCTCTGTTGTGCACTGTGTTGCCACTCCTGCAGCAGCTATGAAGCCCAGAACTGCAAGATTTCCAGGGGTCAGTATTTGACTATTTCTGCTCTAGAAACTGATGTAAATTTGCCGTAAACTTTCCACACCCTTTCTCCCACATGGCCTCATCTGTTTAGATTACCTGAGTCGACTAAGAGGTATTTAGGAATTCCGTCTTCGAAGGTGAGCTTTTCCGAGCTGGCCTTGGGAAGGCCTAGCCTGCATAAGACTTTGGTGCTCTGAATCTTCTTCAGGTTGGCAAACCGGGACAAAGCCTTCGAGTGATCCTTACGAGTGTCATAAGGAAAGGTGTGTGCGGGCGGGGGGATTCCACATTGCCGCAGCCTCTGCTGGGACCTGCAGAGCCTCTCCACTGACGACTGGGAGCCCGCCAGCAAGCTGCGGTGCAGGAGTTCCACCATGGACTCTGGCTTCTTCTCCTCCTCCTTTTTAACCAGCGTGCACATGAAAACATGGTGGGGATCTTCTCTTCCCATGACGGCGCCCCTGGCGAAGGACATGGCGTTCAGGTTTTTAGTAAGCATTTTCTGTGCTTCATCAAGTGAAATACCGCATGTTTTTAGGAGATTTAATTTCTTGCTCTTCTTACTGAAATTCTCAACAAATGCATATAATTCTGGCAGCTGTGGGGAAAAAAGTGGGAAGTCATGAGATCGATGAACATGTTATAGGCTGGCAGACCCTGAAACAAATAAGATAACAAATAACCACAAAAACAGAAGCATTTCTCCCTGGAAGCTCTCTTTGCCTAACTAAACCAACTCAATAGTGGCTCTGTGGAATAGAGACCAGAAGGTCAAATCTCAGATTCATCCCCCAAAGGACGTATTATTTAAACACGTCTCTTAAACTCCCTGTTACAAAATGAGCCAGTCACACTTGGACTCAGAAGTCTTGAAGAGCTTTTCAACTCTAAAATTCTGTGAGTGACCTTGGGGAGAGACAGCTGTGGGAGGTCGTGACCTTCGCTTGTTTTGAGTAATGCTACATTTCTTTCAAAGCAGAAAGACAGCCAGATCATCTAGACATCAACACTTCATCCTTGTTCGAAAGAGCTCAGAATGTTCAGGAATGCAGTGCATAGGAGGCTGTAATAATTGTTATTCACTGGAATACTTTACCAAAGAAAATGGTTGTGTTTGTGGGTGTTTGGGAATAGTTGTTGGCAGAAAAAAGAAAAACAATAAATTATTTCTCAGAGTATCTTTTCCTATCTAAAATCCTATGTTGAAGGAATAAAGTCTTGTTTTCTAGAGCATCCTGCCTACAGAGCCCATCATTCCTAAAGAGGCTTCTCAGGCCATTAAACTGGAAGGCTTAGGTTAGAGCCAAAATTTGGGTCACTTCACTCAATGCTGAGTTTCCTTTAATTAATTTATTTATTTGTTTTGAGATGGGGGGGCTCCCTAAGTTCCCAGGCTAGTCTCGAATTCCTGGGCTCAAATGATCCTCCTGCTGCAGCCTCCCAAGTAGCTGGGACTACAAGTGTGAGCCACCACGCCTGGCTCAGGGTTTCCTTCTAATTCTAGTTGGTTCTGCTGCAAGGGCAACAAATAGAAAGTGAACTAAGGTTGGCAAATGGCTCTTTAAAACCCATACTACTATCAGAAAACAGCTCAGCACTCGTGCTCACCTGACCTGGGAAGAGCTATGTTTTCCCCAACAATAAATGCTAAGTCACTGAAGTGGAATGTTGGTGTTCCCTGTGGCTCCCAGGTACACATTCAATAGCTCGAATTTCTACAGTTCTTGAATATAAAGTTTCCTGCATACATTATAAAATTTTAAGTACATACCGAACATTGGGGAGACACTGCCTCAGTGCTGTCTTCAGCTAGGTTGGTGTCGCCCATGGGGAACACTATGCTGGGGTTTTATTCTCTAATTCCTGCAAAAGCAGTATAAGCAAAAACAAAAATCAAAGATCAAAATTCAGATAAAATACAAAGGGAGGGGATTAACACTTTTTAAATCTTCAAACTTTGTGAGTGGGACATTTGTAAGATTTTATATCATTTAAATTTTCTTTTGTTTTTCTCCTTAGTCTAAGTCTGCCAAATTTATCATGTTTCCACCAAACATTTTCTCTGAAACATCCCAAATTCTTTCTAACATGTATTTTCAGGTTTAATACTAGTCCAATGAATCCTATATGAATTGTTTTTTTTTTTTGGCTTACATATTTTGATGAATTTTCAATTCATCTGAAGAAAAAATTATGTACCTCCTTACCCAGAAAACGTGTTTTGTATTCAGGAGAAAAATGCTCATATGTAATAATAATAATAAAAATAATGAGCATTTTCAAGTAATTTGCTTTGTGCCAGATACTCTACTAGGCATTTTGCAGATAGATTTCGTTTAATCCCTTTGTGAGCGATTAAAAATAGCCATGGAATCTTCACAATTTGTCTCATTAATAAGTAAGCGGCAGTTAAGTCGCCTCCCACATTTGACTCTGGGCTGGCCTTATGCTTGGCTTTGACCAATAGCTGTGACATTGTGTCAGTGACGTCGTGTGAGACCTTCAGAAGATTTGTAGCTTCACTTCACATCCTTGGAAGCCTGGGCCACCACGAGAAGAGGTCTGACGCCCTTTCTGGAGAGACCGTGTGAGGTCAGCAGCCAGCACTGACCACTAGACGTGTGAGTGAAGCTATCTGGGTCCACCAGCCCCAGCTCTTGGTGACGCCAGCTGATCCCAAATGGAGAACCACCTCCCAGCTAAGCCAGCCAACTCTAAAGTTATGATAAGTAATGAATTTTTGTTGTTTTAAGCCACTAAGTTTTGAGTGGATTGTTATATAGCAACGAATACAGATAAACCCCACGATACTTCACATTCTTGGTTTAACTTATCCAGTGAAACCTTTAGTGGTAAGTAAGGGAATGTGTGGAGGGAAGATGTATTCCTGGGTACCGCTGTGTCCTGACTGGCAGCTGCAATCACTGAGATGAATGTCTGAGCTGAAGCTCCTCTCAAATGAGATGAAACACTCATTTGGTGTTTGGGATGAAGCAAAAACTTCATTCCTCCCTCTTCCCAAAGTAGAAAAACCCATTCTAGGTTTATATGTATGTGTATATATATATATGTTGTCATTGTCTGTTGTTGTCACTGCTGAGGTCCCTATATCAATGTATAGGGCAAAAAAACGGATACAGTGCAGCATGCCCCCCACAGACCTGTCTATCTCCAGCCAGCGAATATAAGACTTGATTCTTGCAAAAGAAAATATTTCTCTAACCGGCTTCATCTAAAACCTCTTGGTGTCTTCTAGCCAGCCACCACTGTTACCTTTCAGCAGTGCTGTCCACCGTGGGAAAGCTGCCTGCCTTCTCCCATCACCCTGGGACAATATATTTTCTCACTTCTCCTACCAGAAGAGGGCAAGATTTTACACCCCTCCCCCCAACACACACACACAGGACTTCAGTCAGCAGTGCCAACTTGGGGAGATGATGTCCAACTTCAGTAGTCGATCTTGCCGCTCTCTACACGCATATTCAAAGCTGATCCCAAATGGAGAACCATATCTAAGAAATATGGACTCGCTCACTTTATTACAATGGCATTGATGACAGGGCATGGGGCACAGAGAAGTGTAGGTTCTCGTGGCTCCTCTTTGCTGAGCTACGATTGGGTACATCTCCCTCTCACCAAAGTGTCAGGGTTCAGAATGCTGAAACGGATCATTAGCCAAAGATGCTTTCACACACTTTAATGTTGACTTCACTTCATACTTTTAACCTCAGGCTTGTTGCCTGAGCCAAGCCAATGCCTAAACCTAAGCTCACCCTTTAATCCAAACTTTCGTGGAGAGTGTTCCTGGAGAAGTCGTGGAAATACAGCCAATGGGCCCCTTATGGATCCAAGCTCCTTGAGCGGAGCTCTTGCTGGGGCTCTTGAGCACTCTCCTTATCATTTCTTACTCTTAGAAATTCCCACAGTCGATTCTGCTTCTGAGAAGAGCAAGGGCATCTCACAGGAACTCCCGTGGGTGGTATCCTCTTCTCTATTTGCATTCACAGCCAACTTCTCCCCCTCCCCTCCAGTCCATGAGGAAAAAGCTCTCTCTGCTCATCTCACGTCAGTTTCCTCTCTCCCACCCGGGCGGCGTATTTTATCCTCCTCATAACTGCTGTGGACTATCTATCTCCCCCTCAATTGTCCTCCCTCCCCCTTCAACAACTCTTCTTTTTGTTCCTTCCTGCTGCCCTATCACTCTCTCTTATCTTCAATCTCATGTTTCCTGATCACTTCTTCCTCTCTTTTTTTTTTTTTTTTGAAACAGAGTCTCACTGTGTTGCCCGGGCTAGAGTGTCATGGCGTCAGCCTAGCTCACAGCAACCTCAGACTCCTGGGCTCAAGCGATCCTCCTGCCTCAGCCTCCCAAGTAGCTGGGACTACAGGCACGCGCCACCATGCCCGGCTAATTTTTTCTATATATTTTTAGTTGTCAAATTAATTTCTTTCTATTTTTGGTAGAGACGGGGTCTCGCTCTTGCTCAGGCTGGTCTTGAACTCCTGAGCTCAAACAATCCGCCTGCCTTGGCCTCCCAGAGAGCTAGGATTACAGGCGTGAGCCACCGCGCCCGGCCACTTCTTCCTCTCTTTACAAACATGCAAAGTCTCTTCCATCTGGGGGAAAAATACAACTTTTCAACTCTGACCTTACCACCAAGTATGGACCTGTGTCTCTTCTTTCCCTCTATACTAGCTATTTTTATATTCTTATCTTTTAATCTTCTGTTTAATTACATTTAGCTTCCACCCTAGCTGATGAACTAAAATGATTTTTTTTTTTTCTTTTTGAGATAGGGTCTTGCTCTGTTGCCTCAGCTAGAGTGCAGTGGCGTGGTCATAGCTCACTGCAACATCCTGGGCTGAAGATCCTGCTGCCTCAGCTTCCCAAGTGGCTGGGACTACAAACACACGCCACCATGTCTGGCTGATTTTTCTGTTTTTTGTAGAGACAGGCTCTCGCTCTTGCTCAGGCTGGTCTCAACCTACTGATCTCGTGCAACTCAAACTCCTGGCCTCAAGAGATCCTCCTGCCTTGGCCTCCCAAAGTGCTAGAATTATAGCCATTAGCCACCATGCCCAGCCTTAAAATTGAATTCTTGAAGGTAATAGTGACTTGTTAACCATCAATTCTATTAATAGTGTAGTTTTTATAGTCCTCATTTTTCTCCATCTCAACTATTAACTATCCCCTCATTTTTAAAAATTTCAATAGATTTAAGGGGTATAGGTGTTTTTTATTACATGAATGAATTGTGTCATGTTAAAGTCAGGGTTTTTAGTGTACCTGTCACCAGAAAAGTGTACATTGTACCCAATAGACACATTTTTATACCTTACCCTTCTCCCACTCACACCCTTCTTAGTTTTCAATATCTATTTCACCACCTTGCGACCATATATACCCCTCATTTAGCTGCCACTTATAAGTGAGAGCATGTGGTATTTGATTTTCCATTCCTGAGATACTTCACTTAGGATAATGATCTTTAGTTCCATCCAAGTTGCTGCAAATGGCATTATTTCATTCCTTTTTATGGCTGAGTAGTATATCGTGGTATATGTATACCACATTTTCTTTACCCACTCATCAGTTGACAGGTACTTAGGTTGATTCATATCTTTGCAATTGCGAATTGTGCTACAAGAAATATTTGGGTACAAATGTCTTTTTTGTAAAATGACATCTTTTCCTTTGGGTAGATACCCAGCAGTGGGATTGCTAGATCAAATGGTAGGTCTACTTTTAGTTCTTTGAGGAATCTCCATGCTGCTGTCCATAGATGTTGTACTAGTTTACACTCCCACCAATAGTGTATAAGTTTTCCCTTTTCACTGCATCCATGCCAACATCTATTGTTTTGTGACATTCTAATAATAGCCATTCTGACAGAGGTAAGGTGGTATCTCATTGTTGTTTTAATTTGCATTTCCCCAACGATTGGTGATGTTAAGCATATTTTCAAATGTTCGTTGACAATTTTTCTATCCTCTTTTGAAGAAAATCTGTTGAAGAAAATCTCTTTTGAAGAAAATGTCTTTTGCCTACTTTTTAATGGGGTTATTGCTTTTTTTCTTGCTGATTTGTTTGAGTTCTTTGTAGATTATGGATATTAGCCCTTTGTCAAATGTATTGTTTGTGAATATTTTCTCCCACTGTGTAAGTTATCTATTTACTCTGATGATTATTTCCTTTGCTGTGCAGAAATTTTTTAGTTTAATTAAGTTCTATTTATTTATTTTTGTTTTGCTGTATTTACTTTGAGGATCTTAGTCATAAATTCTTCACCTAGGCCAAGGTCGGGAAGAGCTTTTCCTACATTTCTTCTAGAATTTTTATGGTCTCAAGCCTTATATTTAAGTCTTTAATCCATCTTGCATTAATTTTTGTATGTGGTAAGAGATTGGGATCCTGTTTCATTCTCCTGCATGTGGCTATCCAATTTTCTCTGCATCATTTATTGAACAGGGCACCCTTTATCCACTGTATGTTTTTGTCTGCTTTGTCAAAGATCATTTGGTTGTAGCTATATGGCTTCATTTCGGGGTTCTCTATTCTGTTCCATTGGTCTATGTGTCTACTTTTCTACTAGTACCTTGCTGTTTTGGTTACTATAGTTTTGTAGTATAATTTGAAGTCAGATAATGTGATGCCTCCAGATTTTTTTTTTTCTTTTTGAGACTGAGTCTTGTTCTGTTGCCCTGGGTAGAGTGCAGTGGCGCCATCATAGCTCACTGCAACCTCAAACTCCTGGGCTTGAGCGATCCTTCTGCCTCAGCCTCCCAAGTAGCTGAGACTACAAATGCACATCACCATGCCTGGCTAAT